AGCATCCACTCCCCACCAGGCTCGAGCTAGCTGTACACAATGACTGCCGCGTGTGCTCTGCGAACAGCTCTGGCGTCCGCAGCCATTGCAACAATATCAAGGAACACTCGAGTCGCCACTCGACACCACTTCAACTAACTAACTTCGAATAAATTCAAGCAAGGAGTTCAAGAAGAACTCGTCGCGCTGTTCGCAGCGCGATCAAAAATCGTTGAACGTCACAAATCGACCTTATCGCCCCTCCCCCCGAGACACACACATCATAGCACCATAGAATGGGGTTGCATTTTTGTTGTTTTTGCCATGTGATTAAGCAATCACGATTGAAACGAGGGTTGCCTGCTGCTCCTCGTTGCTAGTCTTGAAGAAAAAAAAGAAAATCACGCCCATCTGCTGCTGCTGCTAGATGCCAATATTGATGCTGTCCCTGCGTTCGCCACCTCCAACTGCTGAGGTGCCTCGTGCTGTGGCACTACCACACCTTGGTCCGCCCTGCGTTGATCCAGCCTCGTACTCTCGTACTCTGCTCATGCTGCCGTACTCTCGCGTTGTGGCCTCGTGGGTACGTCTTACGCTATTTGCGCTTGCCACGTGCTTATGTGGCCCGCCTTACCTGGTGGGCTCTCGCGCCTTATTTTCCATATAAGCATGGTGGTGTCTGTCATTGTGGGCCGGGCGGCATCCGGGGACTTCGCCTCTTCCATACGTGGTATGTTTGCTCCGCCACACCGCCTGTTCTATCTTGCGTACTCGGTTAGCTTTAGTACTGTGCCTTGGCTGAGGCTTAGTACGCGCGCTGGAGTCCTTTCGTGCCATAAAAGGAACTGCTTCCTAATATAGAGATTAGGCGCCATGAGCCCTGCTTGTAGTAAACATTGCATTAGTAGCGCTGATACCTTTATGCAAATATGGGGTAGTCTCGCCCGCGCATATGGGCGTACTCGTACTGCGGCCTGGGCTTTCCCCAGTACGGCTGCCCGCCATTGCATGCCAGACACCCCCATTGTTGCGCGCCTAGCCACGCGCGTGGCTTTTGCCTGCTGCTCGGTTGTCAGCGATAACTACGGTTTGCCGTACGCTGCAAACCTACATTTTTCTTGAAAAGATTACGAAACTGTAAGGGTCGTTTTCGCTGATTGCGGCTCATATGGCTTTTACAGTAATCGATCTTCTAAGTCTGTCCGTTGAAGTTTTTTGTTTGTTTGTATTCTTTATTTAGAGTGGGAAGTCCAAAACAGGCCCTAGCCTAATAACAATGGTCCCACTGGTGAGGGAATTCTGTATATCTGTGCATTAGGATCAGTGAGTGTAACAGCAACAAGAAGGGAAAGAAAAAGAGAGAAGAAAAACAACTCAAAACAGGAGTTGCGACTTGCATAGGAAGAAAATAACGGAAAGAGCAGTGCATACAGCATTTGTAAAAAGGTTTATTTATCTGGTAAGGCCACGCCGTTTTTTTCTATGTTTCGCGTCACCTTATTCGATGAAATCAATGAGGGAGGGTGAAAAAAATAAAAAAAGCCATCCAAAAAAACAGTGTACGTGCATTGCATTTGTGTACAGTGAAGCGACGCGGCGCTGTTGATGTACATGTACATTGACATAATAGTACAGTACGGATCGGCTATAGCGTTGGTGTTTGATTTTCGTGAAAATATCACTATAGGCGATATATTACTATAGGCGATATGCATACTTAGGTATGGCTGACAAATGCGTGTATGGTGTCATTCGAATCAGTGCAGCGTGCAGAAGCGTGCTGTGCATATGACTGTGCAATACGCGCAGTGCAGAGCTACTTCCTGCGGAAACAAAAACTTACTTTGTGATTTTTTGACATGAGTTTTCATGGAGTTGCTGTCCTCAACAAATGTGTTCTTTTGGAAGAGAAACACTTCAACACATTCAATCGACATAACAATATCTACAGGATCGATTAGTGGGAGTAGAGTCTCAGTCTGGGTCGCCATCGCTCGACTCATCACCGGTGAAACCGTTCCAAGTAGCAGGTCGATCGTGATGTCGTATTTCACGGAGAAGCTTCTCCGCGTCCCTGATCGTCTTCGCTGTTACCTGAATGCCTTCTCCAACATCTCGGCGGAGACCACGGTAGCGCTTCAGTGCTGGTACTAATTACTGCCTCCGATCTCGCTCGAGGATGCCCCGGAACAACAAGCACAGCCCACGCCAAGCATTTCGAATTATTTCCTCCGAGGGATATCATAGTCGTACCAGCGCTTCCTGGCTGCCGCGATCAGATCTCGCCATGTAGGTCTACGATGTATAATATTTTATGATCATCACTATAGCCGATGAAAAATGTATGCAATAAGATCATTTTGACAAAGAAATCGTATCATTATAGCCGATATATTACTATAGCCGATTATTACTATAGCTGATCCGATATGTATAGAAAGGGGTGGTTTACGAAAATGAATTTGAGAAAACGATCACTATAAGAGGTATATTACTATAGCCGACCACCCTATAGCCGATCCGCACTGTACATAATGAGTGTATCCCCTCTGCCATGCTTGTGGTCCAAACACAGGCGGCATGATGATTGTGTGACTTGCGGCCCAGCTTATTGCACACACATGTACAATGTACATGTGTGTGAGCTGAGTTACATTTTCCGGTTTTCTGGGTTTGCATTAAATTTGTATTGCATTTTCAAAACAAAAAAATTGTTCCGTTTTTTTAAACTCCGGCTGTGAAATACAAGCGCGCGGGGGACGCGAAACATAGATAAAAAGCAAAAAGGCGAGAGCCATTGACTTAAAGTGATTGCGTTTTCTTTCTTGCCTGACGGCAGCGGGGAGCTGGTTCCATAAGATGGTCCCAGCATAGGTAACACGTTTGGCAAGATATGCAGTTGTGCTGGCTGGGACAATCAGTAAATTGCTGTGCCCACCACGAGTTTGAGTGGAATTACTGCGGCTGAAAAAGTCGGCGAACAACATGCTGATGTTAGAGGAGTCATGGAGACAACCCCAGATAAAAACCAGAAGGTACATATTGGCGTATGTGGTCAATGTTTGGATGTTTATGCGTGTAAGAATATTGCTTGTGGGTGTCCCGGGAGGTACCCGACAGACTGTGCGTACAGCACGCTTGAAGAGACCATTAAGCCGTCGACTTTGATACGCCGTGAGAAATGGTAAGTAAGCAGAAGCGGCATACATAAAGTGTGATTAAATGAAAGAGCGAAAATAGGCCATGCGACATTGAAAAGGCAGGAATGTAGCGTATCGTCTGAGCACGCCAACTTTCGACGCAACGCCCCGTGCGACGTGGTCGACCATGGTGTTCCAGCTCATGTCCGCATCAAAGTGGAGACCTAAATATTTCGCAGAGCGAACAGTTGGCAGAGGCAGTCCATTACATTGCACTTGCAAGTCAAATGTTTGAGATCGTACTGGCGATATCGGCATGATCTGTGTCTTCGTTTCATTCAAGATGAGACCGCGGTTCCTAAACCAATCGGCAAAGTGAAGTCCGATGTATTCTTTTTTATATTCTTTTCTGGTTTCTGGTGTGGACAAAACTGGTGAGTGCGTATTATTTAAAAAGTGTGAGGGCTACAAGTGCTACAAAACTGGTGAATGCTACACACTCACCAGTTTTGTCCACACGCACTTACAGCTGCCACATTTATCTACTCCTAACATTCTCAGATACACTGCATAAGTTCACGCTACACGCGTTTTGCATAACCGCGAGCTGCTGCATTCTCACGCTTCTTTTCATATTATTCTAGCAATATAACTGGTTGTTTTAGTGATTCTTACTATGTGACGATATTCCACTGATGATAGTCACGAGAAAACGTTCTGGAATTGTTTCATTTTAATTGTTTTATACATGGCTATGAGTGCACAATTGATATTTTTCATTGCTATTTTACGACTGTTGTCTCCTCGTCGGTTATTTTTCGAAATACACCTAATAGTCCCTCTGTAACATTTGTTTTCTTTAGTACAATGTATTCTTCCTGATAAGAGCTGTGCGAAAACCAGGTAGAAGCAATTCCATGATTGTCCAGCACATTTTTTTCTCTACATTACTTTCACATGTTTGCAATACATCCGTTCCACATGTCGATTCAGCTCGTCCTTTCGTTCGAAATTTTGAAACTGCCGTCACCTAGTCGGTTATTTCTGTATATTTGCGTTGGCTGGATTTTTTCCGTATTTGACACGCTACGATAGACATAAATAAGGGGGCGTTCGTTTTCGATCTACATGTTTTGGTAGAAACTACTTCTTTCGCTAGAGTGTTCATCGGCACACTATGCATTTCCTTCGTAAGGAGCTGTACACAACTCCATACAGAAGAAAAACATTTTACGTACATATCGTGAAAACTACTAAATCTGGTAGAACAGCATTCGTGCACTTGCCTTTACCGTCTACCTCTATGGGTAGAGTGACTCTACTCTACTCTACCAGGTAGCTAAAACGAACGCAGCCTTAGTGCAATTAGATTGCAATGTATGCTGGGTCCATCATTGAATGTTTCTAGCATGGATGTACGCTAGTAAATTCGTGCAAATTCTGAAGGGTGACGTAACCTAGGAATAGCACCTTTTGCGATATCCAGAAAAAGCACACACTTCAGGCCAGTGGCGTGTCCAGGGTTTGGCTGAGGGGGGGTTGCGGCCGGGATGGGGTGGGGGTAGATGACATCATGCTACTGTCCCAGGTCAGCCATTTTGAAAACCAATGTCAAGGAGCCGTAAATCTCACACACCACGAACAAATTAATCGTTTCAGGCCGCGCGCCCGCGCGCCCCCAGCCCTGCCTTTTATTTTTCGAAACCTAGGTCGAAACTTTTGAGGGGGGAGGGGGCGCCCCCACGCACCCCCTAAATCCGCCACTTGAGGCTCTTTAAAAGACCTTCGGTTTCACTAGCATACTGAGAGTGTCTGCTTTCTTAGTACTATCGCATTCTTGCCTCCGAGGAAACGATTGCGATATCCAAAAACGATTCTTACATTCCTGTTAGAGTTTTTTTCAGAGGTTGGAACACATCTTCTGGTAGTGTGGCAAATTTGTTGTTTGTCAAATCCCTGTAAAGAGAGAAACAGTTAACACATTTACCATGACTTTAACCATGTAGACAGGCAATCAACGGCCTCTATAAGCTTGCATTAGTGTCCGACCATGTTCGCTCAGCTCAAACGGGTTAACCCTTTACAGGCCGATTAATCACATTAAAACTTCAGTTTACCTTGGTCATTTTTTACGATCTTAGGTGTAACTATGTAGACAGCCAAGCAACGGCCTCTATGAGCTTGTATTATCATCCGATCATGTACGCTCAGCTCAAGCGGGTTAACTCTTTTACCGCTACAAGGGTGTGCCATTCAGCCACTGGACAAAAATGCTAAAAGTAGGGCAAATAGCCAACTCCACAACTTTATGGTCCTGGCAACTGGGCCTTTGAACCTTTGGGAAGTGGAGACGAAGACTACTACCATCGCACTGACTAACTTGATATAGCACCCAAAAGAAGAAGCAAAGCGTATGACTCGCAAGTTTGACAAAATTGCGTATAATACGGCAAAGACGGCAATTTTAGCTGAAACATCGGGCAAAAAAGAAAAAAAAACACGATGCATCATGTAACAAAGCTGGATTCGTACCCGCTACCTCTCGCACTTGACGCAGGGACTATACCAAATGTCCTGGAACAACTACATACAAAAGATCTAACGTAAAAAATGGTTATTTAGGGCATGCTCGATTGTACGAATCCGTGAGCCCCGGACCTGGATTAGCCAAATTTGTACATGTTCGATTGTACGAACCCGGATCCCGAGAGCACGGATTCGGATCCAGCCAATCCACCTCCCAGAGACGGATTCTACGGATTCATTTCCATGGTACGACTCATATCTACTCAAAACTCAACTCCCAATATGCGTACACTAGGTCAAGAGTTCACCACAATGCATACAGATACTACGGGATGAGCTGTAGCAACGCGGTTGCTAAGGCCTTGAAACGGATTATCGGTTGTGCACATTCGATTGTATCCGTCCGATCAAAGTGATCTGATCGGCGGGGATCGGGATCCAGTTTCTACAATCGAATGCAGCCTTATACCATGACGTATATATACGTCATTAGTGGCTGGGGGTCATTCCCCATGACGTATACCGTATTTTACCGGATGTAAGTCGACCCCGGTTATAGGTCGACCCCCGTATCCGGAGGTCTCAATTCTGCGTTTTAAAGTTTTCACCCAAAGAAGCACTACTAACCACCTCCTGCTACTAACACATCAATAAACCATGTAAACATTCCTTATTGGAGGGTATAACGTCCCAATACTTGAAAAAGGCCTATAAACTGGCAAAAATGCGTACACATGGTGCACTCGTGCATGCAGTGCAGGTCATTTTTTGTAAGATACTGATAGTTCCCGGTTATAAGTCGAATCCCGGTTGTAAGTCGACCCCCACCCTTTCTCCTTCTATTTTAAGTTGTAAAAGGTCGACTTAAACCGAAAAAATACGGGACCGTATTTCCGCAAATAAAAGACCGTCCTCGTATACAACGCCTTCCTCGAATACAAGGCCGGGGCAGGGGGCGATTGAACAAAATACAAGACCGTCTCCGATTAGAAGACGGGGCCTACTAAATGAATAATGTTAAAATAGAAGACCGTGCTCAAACTGTGGGAAAAAATAGAAGACCGTGCTCAAACTGTGTAGAAGAAAATGGAAGAACGGGGGTAAAACTGTGTGGCGAAAATAGAAGACCGGGGTCAAATTGGGTTGAAAGAATAAAAGACCGTCCTCGAATACAAGACCGTCCTCAATTATAAAGCCGGGTTAGGACGAGTTTGAAAAAAATAGTAGACCGGCCTACTATTTGCGGAAATACTATTGAATAGTGGCACCTTCGAGTAGGAGTCAAAAAGTGACTTAGTTCAAAAGACAATACAGGTGGAATCCTGACTAATCGAACGTCAAGATGCCATGAAAAAAAACCCTCTAATTGTCCAGACTATGCTACAGTCAAACTGCGTTAGGACGAACACTGATATGGCAAACTTTCCATTAGTACGACCGAGGGCCAATCCTATGGTTGGCCACACATCATATCAAATCAAAACTATTTGTTTATGACGAACTCCTGGACGGCGAATTTTCATGAAGACTAACTAAATTCAAGCTTGATTTGAACAATATCAGCGCGTAACGTTAGTATGAACTTTCGGTCCACGTGGCTGCACTGGCTATACTCCCTCCGGCAACAAAACTTCGTGGCTTTTTCTTTTTCTTCCTTTTGGGGCTTTCTTGAAATAAACTTTTTTTTAAATTTTCTACTCCACGTTTGAAGAAGGGCTTAGGCTTCCTGCAGCCTCATCTCTGAAAGGAATTCGGGTGGACTCACCCATTCCCATAGCGCTGCACATCCGAACCAGTTCCGTTATTTTACAAGGTTCCGAACTTGGCCATCGTCAGATAATAACAATGATTCATTGTTATTACCTGACGATGGCCAAGTGCCGAAACGTAAAATAACGGAACTGGTTCGGATGTGCAGCGCTATGGGAATGGGTGTGTCCACCCGAATTCCTTTCCACTCCACTATGCTGAAAAATGACCAAAGTCATACCTGCGGATGAAAAAGCTCGCCCTCCGCGACGTCTCCTCAGCAATTTATACTCCAACACTACTCTCAACACTGCAGAACAAAGTGGATTGTTGATTCTAACAAGGAAAAGCAGAAGTGATGACTTGTCACTCCTAACGACAAGCTTCTCCTTGCGCCACCAACAGTTTTTGGTGCGACTATAGGCTGGCGAAGTACCGACGTCACGCTGCCTGAAAACTTTTAGCTACATGTGGTTACAAGGTCAAGAGTCGACAAACAAAAAGTCGCGTCACCTGCACTTGTCGCGTTTCCAACAGTCACGGCATCACTTTGTCTGGGGCGCGCTTGTGCAAGATCGCTAGTTCAAATTTTGTTTTACTTCAAGGAGTTTCTCCTTCGCTCTCAAGCCATTGTACAGAGTTTTCCTGCTGAGTGTTCACCAGCACCTGAGAGCTAGCAGTTCTGATTTTTGCTTGCCACTAGACAAGGAAACTAATAATTGACCAGAGTTGGTTGGTTTCCGAACCAAAAGGAATCAGCGATCGCTGCGATAGAAATAATAGAGACACCCATCATTGCTTCTTGGCCAGTGGCTACATGTAAAGCCGAACGACAGTACAGGTACAGCATTGGCTAAGCAAGAAATCAGCTACAACTTCTCCTTCCCTACAAAGCGAAAGCCGAAAACTACAAACTCGGCGACAAGTAGGCTTCCGCGGAATATGCTTGTATTTTCATCTATAATTCTGCTGTACAGGCGGCTGCGTTTGTAGGTCTTCATTGTAGGTGTGACTGCGCGTGTCGTACATGCTGCTGTGTTTGTGTCTCTTTGTAGTACATGCTGCTGAACCGTGGTACACACTGCTGCGCTGTCTTTGACTCCTATGTACAGGCGGCTCTTCTGTCCTCGTTGTATACGCACGTTCTCATCTTGTACGTGTAATTGTCCCCATTGTACGCCTTATCAATATAATAATTATTCCCGTAGCTAAGTAGAAGACGTTACTTCAGTAACGTCTGGCGCTAGCCAGGGTCCAGACAGCTTTAATTTGGTGTTTGTTTGTTTGTGTGTTTGTGTGTTTGTGTCACGCTTGGCGCTATCCCGTATCTGTCCCGTACCGTACAATCAAACACAGCTGGCCACATACAGCTGGCCGCACTAGTATTCAAATAGGGCTTTCAAACGCAAGATCATACATAACTTGAAGCAACTTGGAAGAATGAGTATGAATGCGAAGTGTATGGGGGAATGCATGTAGAGCGATAGCGCGGGTTCTAATCCCAGGTAATGCCTGAAAAAAATAGGAAAATTGAAAATTAATAACATCCCTATTCTTTTTTTTGCCGTCATCAAGGCGGTAAATGGTGTCGTATTACCCTCGACCGTACCTGTCCCGTACCTGTCCCGTCCCGTACCGTACAATCAAAGACGGGGTAGCTCTTGCTGCGCTGACTTTGGCTTGCGCTTTCCTTTGCAGTGTCACTGAGCAGCAACCGGAATTTGTTTGCCGAGAATAGAATTAATTATTCAGACTCCTTGTAGATTCCTCGCAGCCGTTTACTGCACGACAAACATGTTGTCTACCTCTGAAGCACGCCGTATGAACGTGTCGGACTTGCGGGCCGAGCTGGAAGGCCGTGGGCTGAATTCGAGTGGAACAAAGCCCCAGCTTCTTGCCCGTTTGCTGCTCAGTATCCAGGACACGCCGAGCTTGGCGGCACGGGAACCTCGATCTCCGTCGGCCACGCCATCCTTGCGGCAGGAGCAGGAGCAAGAGCAGGATCTGGAGAGTGTTGCAGCAGCTTCTCCGACTCCCCAGATCCCGGACCGGAGCAGGAATGACGATTTGCGCCAGTTTGTGCGGCAGGAAGTACATTCCGCCGTCACCGTTGCCTTGTCGGAGGCGATCGCTCCAATGCTGGCCACCATCACTGCCCCTGGATCCGCTGGAACTCAACCTTCGGCGGAGTCTTCCAACGCCGGTAATCTCTCCGTTACCCAGACTATACGAGAGAAAATATTGAAGGGTGACTTTGTAGATTTCACCCAGCTGCTGCCCGATACTATCTCCACCTCGTATTCTGCCCCACGCCAGCTTCAGCTGCAGTTCAGCAGTGGCGGCCAGTCTCTGGAGGTGGTGGAAGGTGGAGCGGCGCAGCCCGTTCGTCGACACGTCAACGACTTGCCGACATGGCTGGAGGCATGGACTCTCTTCATGAACGTCGTGTGTTCTGCCAACCCGTCCCACCTGCAGGAGATGCTCTCATACCAAGCCACCATTGTTGCAGCCAACAGGCAATACTATCCGGAGGCTAGGCTGTCGTACGACACCCAGTTTCGCTCTGCCATTTCTGCTCAGCCAGGCAAGCTCTTTGACGTCATCGACATAAATCTGTGGCAAATGTCCGTGACTAGCCGATCAAGGCCCACATGTGAGTCCTGCCGCCTCGTCCATCATAGGAGGCGGCCAGTATCCCTTTCGTCCGCAACGTAACAACCAGCAAGCCTTCAATGGAGTCCGTACGGTGTCTAATGGCCAACCGATCTGCTGGAACTTCAACGCTGGGCATTGCAGTCTCAGCACATTCAAGTACGCCCATGTCTGCAACCGCTGCGGGTCCAAGGACCACAACGAATCTAAGTGCGGTAGGCGCCAGTAATTCTGCTGCTTTGGCTGCAGCTCCCGCGATTGTACATATTTCTCCCTGCACTTCACGTTCTACTGATTTCACAAGCGCATGTCCTGCTGTCCACACACCCCTCTCTGTTTCTCGCTTCGAATCACTGCTCCGTAACCACCCTGACAGTTCATTGGCTTCGTATGTTATTAACGGCTCATGCTGTCAACACCGATAACATGATCTTCTCGGCACCCTGCCTCCAGGCAGTAGGGCCAGTTGATAGCTCTCTGCCGCCTTGTCACCATCATCATCTTTGCACCGCGGAACTCACTAGCTAGGCCAGCTCAGTTTTATCACCTTTATCACCGTTATCCTTTATCACCTTAGTACCGCGATCCTTACTGGCTATGACACTGAATCGGATATGAGTTGATAGCGCCCCTAGCGCTTTCTGTTATCCTTGTCCCGCCATACTGGGCTTTAAATAGTGGGTTATTTTTCTTGATGTTCATATCACCTGATGAGTGCCTGAGATGGCATGAAACTTTAAGTTGTGACTGATCAAGCCATCTGTTGTTCTGACTAGTGTGTACATACATACATACATACATACATACATACATACATACATACATACATACACACATACATACATACATACATACATACATACATACATACATACATGCATACATACATACATACATACATACATACATACACACACACATACATACATACATACATACATACATACATACATACATACATACATACATACATACACACATACATACATACATACATACATACATACATACATACATACATACATACATACATACATACATACATACATACATACATGCATGTGTATATCAATGTACAAAACAACGGCCTATAAGTGTAACGCTGTCAATGAGACAACTTGAGTTGCTTGGTTACTGCTGGATGAGACGGCTAGCAGCCACTGCTGGTATTGTGGGTCGGTCAGATCGTGTTGATTCTCATTCACGCCTCCAGTGTGCAGTACAACGCGAATGTTTGAGCAGATAACTGCAGCATCATCACGAGTGGTAGAAAGTGGGGACGATGCTGCACCTCCTGCAGCAGCTGGAGTACTTGTGTGGTCTGGAACAGTCTGTAAAACAGGGGTGTTGGTGTTGGTTCTTCCAGATGCTAGATCACTTGCGAGAATCCTCGAAATATCTTACACACATGTTTCTGCTTATTGCTGACTTGCTATCCCTCGGTTACGACGAAAGTACCGAAGCAATATGTTTGGCATGTGCCGCTCCCTAGCACCAGTGCAAAAGCGTAGTTCGTTGACGAAAGGCATGGTGTTTTAGTCGGCTCAGATCAGTAGCTGCGCTGTGAAAACCACGGGGAATACAGTGGTTGAGATGCCAGGAGTGTCAACCTTTCTGCAGGGATTGGTGGTTCTCTGTAAATGCTTTACCTCTGGCCATTCTCAGCTCTCAGCTGGAAATCGGTCCTGGGAAAGTTGATTTTTGCATGAAATGTAACCCAATTTGTATTTCGTATGGATACTCGAAAACCCATTCGCGTAGTATGGGACTTCTGCTTATCGTAGACCCTTGAAATTTGGTATGCCTGGAGATCATACCACAGTGTCTCCTCCGTCAAATATTTGAGTCGAACACAATAACAAAACTTTCGGCATTCTTTGTTGCCGTGATGCGTAGCTCGTGCTCTTCTTCGTTGCGCTTTCCTTCCCCTCTTGGACCTTTCCGAACCTGAGCCATCCAAGTTGGAAGGTTGTTGGTTTGCGCCTTGGAGAAGTGTTGGAGCTAGGTGTCAGGTCGCCGGATTTCTCAATACTCCTTGTCAGTTTTGTGCCATTTTGTCACACTCGCTGACTGTATAAGATCTGGTTACGTTGGTGGACAGTTAGTCATAACTCGTAACATTTTGTCCTTCTCCTTTTTCATCATAATTTAATTGGCTCACCATCCGAGTTGAACAATAACATAACATGAGATTATGGGTGTACGAAATTAGGATACCTGAATGGACTGTGAGCACCTGGTTCTACCCCCTAACCGGGTCGCTGACCTGGCTAACCCGGCTCTGGAGCATACACTGAGTGTGCCGGGCACTGCGACTCGGTGTTTCAGCACAGCTGTGGTCCTTCGTTCAGGAGAATAGACCAGTTTTCAAAGGTTGCAAGTAGACCTTGTTCTTCGCTGCAATGCGGGAGAAAACTTTCAAGCAATTGACTATGATTTCCACTTGAACGGAGATTTGACAAAAGCAACTCCGGGGGACAGGTCAACAGACGCGGAAGAACACATCTGTGGAGTCCAGACGAGGCTGCAAGGACAACTGAAAACCTCAGCATCAAAAGGAAGCATGTGAGGTGGACTCACCAGTCTTTGCGCGCGACTGCGGTAGATGTGTGCATGGCGGCGCAGGTGCACACCTACGCTGTAGTACATAGCTAGATACCCGTGCGCAACGTGCATGGTACTCGAATTACGTAGATGTGTGCGTGTGGAGCAGGGGTTACTGCACTCCGTGTAGGCATAGAGTCACCGTGACTGCGGGTTGTTTTCACTTTGCATGCTACTATACGTATTCCCACTAGGGCACATACTAATGTTGTAGTACGTTATTTTGTGTACGTCGTGTGTACGTCATGTTGGTGCATGCGCATGTTGCTGTGGTGTAAAAAGCTGTCTTCGTCTTGAGTTCATGATGTCTTCGTCTTGAGTTCGTCTTGTCTAGTTGTGTTTCTTCGTCGTGTCAATAAACAGTCTTTATAAATGTAGTCATCGTCGTCCCCTTTGTACAAGTGTGGAGATGGCACGGGACTGGGAGCAGGCAGAGAAAAGCGAGTTACAACATTGGTGGCAGCGGTAATGGAAATTTGTAAATCTCAACTTCTGGATTCGTCCTGCGTGGCCTTCGCTCCCAGTTTCCGATGTCATCTCCAGTCGTCCTATCGTCACAGTTTTGTCCGTCTTGAAGAAGTTCGTCCGTCGTCCTCGTCCTTCATCATTCGTCTCTCCCGTCTCTTGGCAGTCGTCGTCACTGGTGGTCCCGGACACGACGTAAAACTGTGCCCAGAAGAAAAGTTTAAAAAAAGAAGAAGGACGGATGGTCCCGGACACGACGTAAAACTGTGCCCAGAAGAAAAACTGAAACAGAAAAAAAAGAAGGATGGAAGGTGAAGGCTGCAGTGTGAGGATGTGGACGCTGAGCAGCGCTTTGAGATGGCGGACGGCATGGCAGACGGCGTGAGGAGTTTCGTTGGTGAGAGGGTACGTGTGTTGTTGTGAACGTGATGAGTATGTGAGTTGTGTATTTTTCTGTTCTCCCAACATTTTGTTCTTTATTATTTGCTCTCCTCGAGGGTAAAGAGGCGCCCGCACAGCGCGTGTGTTCTGTTTGTTTTTTGATTTGCTCTTCTATGAGGATAACTAGAGGCCCCCACAGAGCCAGTGGATTTTGTTCTTTTTGTTATTCCTATGATTTGTGCTCTCACATTTTTAGAATTGTTGCGTGATCGTGAGGTGGTGTGTTGTGTGAAGTAGAGTTTTTGAGGTTATCAGTTCCTACACGTGTGACAGCGATCGTGGCTGGTGTTCTGGGTGGGCAGACAGATTTTTGTAATCTGCAGTGCAGGCAGAGGTATTTTATTTATGGGTGTGACTGGTGTGGTATGATTGAGTGATTTGTGTGATCTTTTCCTCTTTTTTACTCTGTTTTATTATTAGAATCGAGGACGATTCTACTCTTGGGAGGGAGTTATGTTGTAGTACGTTATTTTGTGTACGTCGTGTGTACGTCATGTTGGTGCATGCGCGTGTTGCTGTGGTGTAAAAAGCTGTCTTCGTCTTGAGTTCATGATGTCTTCGTCTTGAGTTCGTCTTGTCTAGTTGTGTTTCTTCGTCGTGTCAATAAACAGTCTTTATAAATGTAGTCATCGTCGTCCCCTTTGTACAAGTGTGGAGATGGCACGGGACTGGGAGCAGGCAGAGAAAAGCGAGTTACAACACTAAGTTGTGCCTTAGATCGAGTACGCAGCTGTAGTCTTTTCTCATTTCACTCACCAGAAGCTGTATTTGTTCATCTTGATCTCATCGGCAAGCTGCTGATCTTCTCTCTAGAGATAATGCACAGTTTGTACACATTATTGTCCTTCTTTTTGCTTCTTCTTGAGACTCTTCTTGGAGTAAGAGTAAAAATCTGGTCTTCTGAGTGTGGTGTAAGTGGGATGTACGTGAGAGGCCTGATTGCGTGAACACGAGAGTAATCGGAAGAGCCCATCGTCGGCACTAAAAAAACCGACGACAAACGAAGTTCAAACGAATTTTTTGGGCACGACTATGCGCCTTGCAGTGTTGAGCCACAGGGGATGTTCACGCTTTGGAAAATACTGCTTGTGGCAGTGATCACTGCACATGCAATTTGTCAAAAACTTCAAGCGTATTCGTGTTTGGCTCTTCGGCGCTCTGCAAATTCGCATCGCGCTATATCAAGTGGTATGCCAGAAGAAAGCGTATTTCCTCAGCTTTCCAGGGAGCTATCATTTGCGATGATTAGAGAAAGGACACCAGAGTAACGATAAGTTAAACACGGTTGTACATGCACTGCATAAATGCATGCACTAGCATGATAGTTAAACCCGTCATCGGGAATACAGTGCACACTTTCGGTCGAGTTATCTCGTCATCAGTTATCAAAGGGACAGTACTCACAAAGTCTGAAGATTTGGCAGGGTGTTGAAAGCATCCTTATCAATGGTCATTAGGCTCGCATTGATAAAAAGCCTATGAAACAGAATAAGTGCAAAAAACTCAAGGAATTGTAGAATGTACGTGTATCATAACAGGGATGAATTTACTGTCATACTTTTGGATAGTAGTTTCTGCTATACGATAATCACAATTGTGTAGCAGTCTTTCATTTTGTTTGGCATTTTTCTTTGAAGGTTGGGTGTTTCCCACATTGTCGTTCTTGAGAGTGATACCTGAAAGCCGATTTGCAAACAAAAAATGAAGCGTACATATGCACGCAGATTGAGAGTACCTGCACCACATAATTATACTGCACTGTACGCATGTTACTTGGCAGACCAGGCTAGGCATGGATAGCCTGTATGTATCGCAGTTTTCTGCACGTCACGGTGACAGATCGATTTTACATCGCAAACTGCGATGCGATACAGGATAAATTCATCCTGGCACAATCATTTATCTACTGTGCTTGTTCTGTTGGAATTACTGAATCATTCGTTTGTCACAGAGCGCTAAATAGCAGTTTGTTACAATTACTGTAAAAGCCATAATATTATATAATTATAATGAAGTGCTGACTCTAACGAGTTAACGAGGAGAAACCTGTTGTTAAAATAGAAATCGTTATACAGAAATCGATACATACTGCCCTATTGAGCGTTGAGAATGAGTGAGAATCGTTACCTTTGGTACACGTAAACTAGTCACTTCTGGGAAATCGTTATATATGCGCCTCGTTAGAATAATGGCTTTTACAGTACAGGACTGATTGTTACAAGCAGTTTACAAGCTACTAAACAGCTGTTGTTATCATCACACAAATTACGCATCTATGATCGACATCCACTGCTGGGAGAGTACGCGTGTGCTCGAGTCTCATCCTGAGCACGTTTTTCGTCCTTTTTCCAGCTCCAGTATAGCTGTATTTTTCATTGAAAAGCCGTCCTCGATTGTTGTGCTTGTTGTTCAAATGAAGTGGACATTCAGTCAAGAAGGCAGAGGACATATTAGGACGGCCACACAGAGGCACTTTGCGATTTTCCAAATATAAAATACTGTACGCATGATGCAGAGTTCAATTTGTGCGATATCAAAATTGTTTGCGATCTACCACATCGAGCAGAACTGGATCCTACTCACAAGCTTACGGACGGTTAGGTTGCCGACATGACAAATGATCTCTGGCTTCACGAGACGCCAGAAGTCGGAAACCATGTCCTTTGCCGCGACGTACATCTCCCAAAAGAATTCCATCTTCGTCTCAAAAGGCTTGAAATACGCCAAATTCAACCGAGCCTGTCCGTCTCACGCTTTCTCAGATCGAATCATTTTTGTTGCAGCAGTTGCAGAGCAGATCCCGCCACTACTTCAACAGGGTATGGCTCTAAAGCATGACTGGAACAAGCCATATCTAGGTTGCAAGGTACCCCCCTAAGGAAGAAATTTCCATGGTGGAAGGTACACTGCGAAGAAAATTTCAAAATGTATGTTTGTCAAAACAAACTGGATATATCTCCTTAATTTGCTCATCACCCGATGTTTCTCTCTTTCTCTCCCTTTCTATCTCCCTTTCTATCTCTCTCTCTCTCTCTCTCTCTCTCTCTTTCTCTCTCTCTCCTCAAAAACCAATCACGACAACAACCAAAACAATGTGTAACTCAATATCAACTGGAAATGGAATATCATCAAACATCCAAATACTATCTTATATTACCCAAATACCATAATATCATTATGATTTGAACTCGGATGGTGAGCCAATAATATTATTATAGTTATGATGAAGAAAGGAAAAGGACAACATGTTACGAGTTATGACAAACTGTCCACTAACGTAACCAGATCTTACACAGTCAGCAATTGTCAGTTTTGTGCCATTTTGTCGCACTTGCTGACTGTATAAGATCTGGTTACGTTGGTGGACAGTTTGTCATAACTCGTAACATTTTGTCCTTTTCCTTTCTTCATCAAAGTATCCGAACGTTTTCGGTCCCTTCTCATCAAGGATTTTACTGGGAATGGCTCAAGTTGGAAAGACTAAAACTTATATAGCGTAAAGATATGAGATAACAACACTCATGACAAGGTGGACAATTATCAAGTTCAGCACGACACAAAACTCGAAGGAAATAATAATAGTGACAAGAACATAGTGAGCAAATTAAGTTACATTGTTAACACCTCGATGAGTAATAAGTTTTAGTCTTTCCAACTTGAGCCATTCCCAGTAAAATCCTTGATGAGAAGGGACCGAAAACGTTCGGATACTTTGACAAGTGCCTTATTTTGACTGGTTGTGTGTTTGCGTGGATACTTACGACCCAACACGTACCTTCGTTATTAAAGTATTATCCGCCTCCGACCTCTTGTAAAAATTATTATTATTATTTATTATCACTCTCTTATTATTGACCCCCACAGAAACTTGTGATCTCTAAAGCGGGATTCACAGAAGCTTTTTTGCGATGCGACACGCGATGCGACAGGCGCGAAACCGGGAAAACCCCAAATCGCAGCCTTGTCGCACCCCACGCAACTGCCGCAACTGGGCCATCGCAGAAGTTGAGCTTGGTTCAACTTTTGCGATGCGACAAGCGATTTGGCGTACGATTTTGACCTTTTCTACAGCAAAGTTGTACAAAGGTTCAAGAGTTGCCTATAAATTTGTACAAGTTGGATCAAACCGCGCGAATATCATGGTGATGTAGCCAAATCAGCAAGATTTTGTCGCATCACTGACTTCTTCTGTGAATGGTATTTCGCGAGTTCGCATCGCACGCGTCCGTCGCAGATCGCGTCGCATCGCGTGTCGCGTGTCCGGAGTCTGAAGGACCTGGAGACACTGTGATTGGTGGCTCGGAACAGGCAATCATTTAACGATATAATCGCACAGGTCACATTGTAGAGTGCAGATCACCTAGTGCTTTCGACAATAATGACGTACTTCCACATTATGGGAATTTGGTATAACCCCACGCCCGTCATTGTTGTATATTCGAGAATAACGTGGATTTCCCCAACAATATATTTTCATTTTTGCTATCCTCTCCCATGCCGTTGTACACAAGCGGCTTGCCGCGGATATGTCGATAAAAATAAATAAAAAACTTGGGGGTTAACCGAAGCTGTCCGGGCCAAACTCGATGCCTTTCATCGCCGACAGCTAAGGAATCTGCTCGGAATTAAGTATCCCACTATCATCTCAACCACTGATCTATATGCCAGGTGTCAGGCAGTGCCGGTTTCCCGGATGATTCAGAAACGCCATATGTCCATGCTGGAACATGTGCTTCGACTGGATTACGACACCCCTCCACGAAAAGCAATGGGGAGCTAGCTGGCGCATACTGGGCCAGGCAAGAGGGGCCGACCACTCACCACCCTCGCTACAACAATCAAACACCCTAGTAAAATAAATAAAATAATAATAATAATAATAACTGGTTTGAGGGAAAGAGACATAATAATAATAATAATAATAATAAACATGACCTGGCAGGGAAGCATATTGCCATGGCAAATACGAAAGATTTGCAGAACTTGAGGGAGATGGCTGGCGATAAGCGTGCCTGGAGCCAGTTGTGGAAGTGAATGATAGGGCATTGGTTTGTAGAACTCCAGTCCATCAGGGGCTGAGACGGTTGTATTGTCCAGGATAACTCTGCCATCATCAATAATCAGAAGCCCTCTAAATACCAGTACAGATATGCAGGTGCTAATGCATATAGTGTAAAGTACGATGATGATTGTGTCAAGTGTCACGTAAGAGGTGTGTATCGCACACCGCTCACACTCCCCCACTCAAACTCAACAATATAAACACTAACTCAAAATGGAGGCACACCATGCCGACTCAAAGAAAATGTTTCCGCGACAGCCGGCCTCCCACCCAGCATTCATGTGACCTGCCTGGTTCGCCACCAAGCATCTCAGGTCAGAGTCAGACCTCCCCCGCACTCTCGTTATCGTCCGACGCATCCGCTTCGGCGCCACTACAGGCCGAGCTTGATCCATAACGGACCCGCCGGGGGTTTACTGCCAGAAACTTGGTTGGCCGTCTAACTCTTCCACTCCTGCGAATCGGGGTTGTCTCCTGGGCAGCTCCACTTGGAGAAACGTCAAGCTCCCCCTCCGTCCCCGTTTCGTTGGTGCTGCTACTGTGCTCCCAGCTCAACCGCTGAGAGGGTGCGGCCTCTAGCTCATTGTAGTGTCGCTGTAGCGTGCGAGTAAGGGCATTGGGTCCGCAAGGCTTCACCAGGTAGGTATTGCGAGTCCTGTGCACAACTGTATACAATTCAGACTTGTGTGCGTGAAGCTTTCCTTTCGTGCGCTGTGCAGGTTGGAGCTTGATTCTCACGGTGTCACCAACAGCATATCCACACCTCGCCTTCCCGCCAACTCTCACCCTCCTGGCCTCCTGAGCATCGCTGATCCGGCGCTTCACCCGTTGGAAAACTCTGTCCATTCGTTCCACCGCACGTGATAGTCGCTGTCCTGTTGGTTGTGGTACTGCAAACTGTTCTGGTCTGTTGGGGTGCTGATGGAACAGGAGTTCGTATGGACAGCAGCCGGTAGTAGCATTCTTTGACGTGTTGTGCGCATACTGTACGGAACGCACTGCCTCTGGCCATGCCGCTGGGTTGTCATCACACACACAGCCCACATTATCGATCAGTTGATTCTGCCGTTCGACCTGACCATTAGACTGGGCATGGTTCGGGCTGCTCAATGCCTGCCGAATGCCTATGGCTGAGCACATTTCCCGAAACACCGTTCCTGGGAAGTGTGAGCCCTGGTCGCTCTGGATGGTCACCGGAATGTCGAACACCATAACCCAATGCTCTAGTAGGGCCTTCGCTGCCGTCTCTGCCGTGGCGTCTGCTGTAGGGATAAGTATCGCGTATCGCGTCAATACATCTTGTACGGCCAAGATATAGCGAAACTGATCCGGCACAGACGGCTGAAATGGGCCAACGAAATCAACCTGTATCCGTGCGAAAGGTGCTGCGGGTATATCCGTCTTCTGCAGCTCC